AATCCACTTCTGCGTCTGAACATACTCTCTATGTAAACGAATTTTGGCGCCTGTAGCCCAAGGCAGATATTCTCCTTCATTTCGCAGATACAGTAAAACGTCCAGGGCGAGCTTGTAGCTGAGATGACCTGAATGGAAGGTATCCATTTTTGCTAATCAAAAATTACGAAATCATAAAATGATTTCATTACTAATTTTGGAACACGCAAATATTTTAACTCATCAAAAATACACGTTCACTCCCTTGCGTTAGTGTATGAAAATATGACGTTCTTGAGTAAACAGACAAGGAAATCATAGTAACTCTTGAATATCCATATATGCATAGAAAACAGCTATATAATTCCTTAGTAGAAGAAAGAAATACTATTAAAAAGATAAAGATTACTGTACCAGCCCTAGCAAGGTTCATGGCATCATCGACAATCTGCCCTCTGTTGATGGGGCAAATAACCTGGTGGTCCTTCTTCAGCTGTTGGATGATAAGATTCCAGTTGTGGTCGTCGTAGTTGACTCGGTAGTAGGCCGCCTGCTGCAGGTTGAAGATGACCCACTGGTCCTTCGGGGGAAGAGAAGAGACGGTGACGTGATCCTCAGAGTCCTTCATCCATAAACTGGCTTGAGTCTGGCTGAAGTTGGCCTCGTTCTGGGTCGTGAAGGTCAGAGGCACCCACCACTTGTAATCCGTGGTGCTGGAAGAGTTTGCGCTCCCTTCTAAGAGGAACCGCTCCTGGAAATTAAGGCGGGGTATATATAGGGCCAAATGATATGTTTACTGAATATGTTTCCTCCCTTCCATCAAGTCATTAAGTACAAACTCACCTGTGTCAAAGTAGCAGAGGTTCCGTCGGGGCTCCTTGTCACCTTCACGACGGGGTATCCCATCTGCAGCGTCCACGTGTCCATGATCATCTTCACAGTCACCTCCTGGGGCAGAATGCCGTCCTCGTGAGCCGCCAGAGTCAGATGCTTCCACAGGTCGTCTTGCACAGAACTATTGTATGTGCTACATGAAAATGGACATATGTTCAGGATCATAATATATAGAGCGAGACTTGAGAATTGCAAAGTAGCACAATATAAATTTCAAACCTTTAAGCTGAGTCATTTTTACATCCAATTAGTATTACATGTCATAAGGTACACTTATATTAGCATATTTACAGTGCTTTTAGATAGTTGTTCAATCCCTTTCTAAAGGTCGGCTCTGTGAGGTAGTGGGTCATCATCCGGATGATAGACGCTCCTAGATCATTGTAGAAAGAAAATATAGATAAGCAATGAGATAGACAAAGAAATACCATAAAACACAAAACAATGAAGAAAAAATACTGACCTTTATTGTAAGATATGTCATCAAAGACTTCGAATATTTCGTCCGGGTTTGAGACGGGAATGTTGATCCTGTGGGAGGACTCCAGGCTGTCTAGATCGAACACACGATGGACTATTTCAACGACGATTTCTTCCATTGCCTTCCACGTTGGTTCCACCTTTTGAACATAAGCAAAAAATTTATATGTATATGGTTTTGCATGTTTTATTATTTTGTATATTATTGGATTTATATGAATATCATGACTCAAGTAACTTACATGATCTACCAAGGTAACTTATATAAGTAGCGAATCCCTCGTTGAGCCACAAGTCGTCCACCACTTAGGCGTCACCAGATTGCCAAACCACTGGTGAGCCAACTCATGAGATACAATACTTGCAATAACTGCCTTGTCGACTGGGGTTGAAACTTGTGGGTCATACAAGAAGATACTTTCTCTGTTCAAAATGAGAGTAGAATTAATAACAAGAACTCTGTCATAGCTAGAAATAGGGTTGTGCATGCTGTGAGCAATAAGGTTACATCATATTTGATATTTTATAGAGCGATATACAGCTTTCCAGTTTTAGCTCAATGATAATTCTATACCAGCTGGTAGCAATGCCTTCAGAAGGATGAGTTGAGGTCAGCCAATTATACAAGTATGGCTTCTTTTTGTCTTAAACTTCACACAGAACCCTTACATCCTTACTCTCGACCCTTTCTCTGTATACAAATATATCACTAATCCCGGCTCCTGAGTAAAATGGGTTATAATATTTAAAACAATACATAATGGTGTTGTAATACAAGGCCTCTGTGCTAATGTCACTGCTTACCTGTAAGTTATTAGACCCCAGTTCTCTCCATAGCTCCTGCAGAGAGTCGGTTAATGCAATCATGTCCATCTTCGGAAGGGGATAAGATAGGTTGAAATAATCTTCAAAGAAACGTAAGATCTTGGGACCTATCTCATTTGCATTCTGCTTGATCTATGGTCTCT